GTAGTGCATCCGTAACAGTAAATTTGGCTATTAATGATGGATATCGATCGACTAAATCACTTATAAATGCTTTGTCTGTTGTGGAAATAGCAATCACATCACATTGATTATACAGATTTTTAAATGGTGTGAGATAGGGTGGATACGGTTTTTGTGTACAGGGATCATCAATATCTCTGTATGGGTCAGGTGCAGAGTAAGCAGCAACGACTGCAATATTTGGTGTGTTTAGTCCATATTCAACAGCCATTGCTGCACCATTACTCCAACCGCTCATGTAAACACGTTTCAGATCAACACTAGCAACTGATTTCGCTGTTTTAATAAAACGATCGATTATTTGAACATCAACATTTATTTTTGGGTCGATTATAATTTCGATACCAGTTGTCCCATCCGAGACCAACTTTATCCGGAATCGGATAAAAATGTGCAGTACTTCTACCGGATATTATCAATAATGATACCCAAGTCAACTTTTATTATTGGCCAAATCAGCAGTAGTCGTTGCTTCTAATAGACCAGCAAGTATGATAGCATTTCGAGGAGCCAACGATGAATGAAGCCAAACTAACAGCGGCAATCGTTTAGTAAGTTTTTCTGAGATTAAACATGCTGCTCGTTGTTCACCAGTGTTATCTGTAAAATTCATCAATTTACCAGTCAATGGTAACACTGTTGGTAAGGTCACAGATAAGTCTAGAAAGACATTTGTGAGATTGAGACATAAGTCTGCGACTGAGGCGAATGCATCAAGTGAAAATGTTGATTTTCGTGGTGGATCACCATATTTTGTACACTGGTTTTTACAGACTACTGCTGTTAACGTGTTAGCAAACAAGACAATGGCAACTGTTTTGGTAAATATTTTTTTGTAAACATGATTATCAAAACTCAGTTAATTTTGTTGCTTCTATGTACATGAAAATAACAAATGATCAGTTTAAGAAACTGTTTGTTGCAACCTGTTTTTCGTCGAAGTTATTACATAAATTAAGCGCAGCTGACAACAATAACAAGATACTTGAAGCAGAAAGAACCTCAAAGAAAAATGAAAAACATCACTATACATGTGTAGATAGATAGATTACTCATTGACAAGGTAATTTTCATGCAATTCTTCTTCTTGTAACGTTACACTGAATGATTTAGCTTTCCGTTTAATGTGAATGTCCTTCATGTTATTCTGTGACTACATGTATTAGCTGTGAGTATTAAATCAACTTTGCTATCAAATTCTGGCACCTTTTAATTTGATTGTACTCTTTTTCCATTTTTGGTGTTTGTCATCAACAAATGTGTCATTATCTATATTGGATGTTGCTGAACCTTCATCTTCTGAATCAGACTCCATTACCTTACTATCACTCTCCTCATCAACACCATCATCATTGGAATAAAAGAAAGCGAAAATTGTAAAGAACAGATAATTCGATGTAAGAATAATTAAGACAGGGAGAATTATAGAAGAAAAGGCGCAAGATATTCAACATGTTTTACACTGTTTAGATTTGAAGTGATTTGAAAAATAACAAAATCCATATCGAAAGAGGGATTAAAAATAAAAATCTTTCTGTAGCAGGGTTTTTTATAGCCAAAATAAGATAGACATTTATTGATGGGAGATCCCTATAATATGGAGTTTATTCGTTAATTTCAAATGATTTTTGGTTAAAAACATTAGATTCGTAGTCTATAACTAAAACTACATCAGAATATATATATGTTTTGGAATCATAGTGGATTTATAGTACCATCATTATTAGTTATATGTACAAGTAATAGATAGACTCGTTACGATCAAATCTTTTATAAACGATGAGATCAATGTATCCAAAACGTATCTGAGTTTGTACAAGTCGTCTTTGGCTACAAGATTACACAAAAAATTTGAGCTTAAAATATTGAGTTTTTCCAAAGTTATCTTGAAATTAAAGGTCAAAAAGTAGGTGTCCGTGCGGTAAATATGTCAAATATGACTAGTGTTGATCTGAAACGTGTTTACATGAGCGGTTGGAGTAATGGTGCAGCAATGGCTGTTGAATATGGACTAAACACACCAAATATTGCAGCCGTTGCTGCTTACTCTGCACCTGACCCATACAGAGATATTGATGATCCCTGTGCACAAAAACCGTATTACAGTTATCTGTTGTAAACCCGCCAGTGTGTATTCCCAGTGTCTTATTGTGTAAAAGTATATTAGTTGGAGGGTTAAATTATCTACGTTGGCCAATTCTTCTAAACCAACAATTTTTTGGTTTTTTGAAAAAGTACACACCGAGTTAAGAACGTTATAACGTTGTGTCGACGAGGGAACCTTTCCAGCTGTCTCCAGTTTTTTGAATGGAACCAAGTGGGTCATAGATTATCGGCTATGCTGATTCCGAATATCTATATGAGACGGGCTGCTAGACCTCCCTACAGCAGTATTCTAGAAATTCCAAAAGATCTCTGAAATTTTTTAAGTCATAATTGTAATAAGTCATATTTGTAGCGCACGAAATTCCATTGAGACATCTCCAAGCTCTAGATGAACTTTCTTTGCAATGTAATCAAATTTATAAGAAAAGCCCTAAATTAATTTATCCTCACTTCTGTAGCTTTCAGCTGATAATGAACATTTAGGGCTTTTTTTTTCTAAATTCTCTACTTTGCAAAGAAAAGTTGTGTAGAGGTGAGAGACGTCTCATTTTGATCAAAATTCTCTATCTAATAGTGTGTCGTGAAGAAAATTTGACATGAAACTGTGCGCGCACTAGAAAAAAACAATTTGCTGGATAAACGCGCTTTGTTCACTATTTGAGAAACAAACCGAGTGATCAATCGAGTTCTTCTCAGATATGTGACATTCGTCAACTGACAGATTGTTTTTCTCAACGATTCCCGTTTGAATTGGTTGTTGGGATCTGATGAGATCAAAGACATCAAGCGGGCACGTAGTCCAAACTTT